CTCCCCCACCCCTTTCCATGTTATACACTGCCTCCCTGCCCACACTAAGGGATAGAGAGTTATGCTTCCCCTTCCTGAGTGGGGTGAGCCTATGTTCTCACGATCTCTTAGAGTGTCCCTGGGGTTAGTCCGTGGACCTGTTCTCTTCTGTTTATCTACCATACCCACGAACTTGTCAGTTCCATTTTTGTGCTAATAACTCCCAGATTTCTAGTCTGGGTCTGTCTCTTGAAAATCAGCACCATCCATCTACTTGCCTATTTGACAGACACCTCCATCTTAACAGTCCAGAAGTGCTCCCCTCGCCCGAAGTTTTTCTCTATCCCAGTTAATGGCAACTCCGTTCTTCATTTTTTCAAGCCAAAAATATTAGTCTTCTGTGACTTCTTGCTTTCTCTCACAGACCACATCCTGTCTCTTAGTAAGTACTGTTGACTGTGCTTTCAGGATCAATCTAATAATCTGACAACTTCTTACCACTGCCACCGCAGCCACCCTGGTCCCAACCACCAGCGTGGAGGCAGCGAGGAAGGACCATTTCAGCAGCCTCCTCACTGGGCCGCCTGCCACCGCCCTTGCCCTCCAGTCTCTTTTCAACACAGAAGCCAGTGAGTGAAGCACGCGTGCGAAGTGTATTATACCCCGCTATCCCCTTCAGAACCTTTCCGTGGCTCCTCGCCTCACAGGAAACATCCAAGTCCTACATTGTTTTTTCTCACTTTCTTCTTTTTTGCTCAGCCCTAGCTACCCTGGCCTCCTTGGACATGCCAGGAACATTTCCCTGCAGGTGACCTTGAAGCTTACTCCCTCACTGCCTTCATGTTTCTGGTTAACTATTACCTTACCCTGATGACACCCCCCCACACACTTACGCTTCTTTCCTGCTTTATTTTTCTACATGTCACTCACCCTTCTCCACATACTTTATCTGTCTTTGTTGATTTGTTTGTTGTCCATTTCGAAATAAGCTTCACAAGGGCAGGAGATGTTTGTTGGCTTTGTTTTCCGCATACTCCTCTAGTGTCAAAAACTGTACCTGGTACAGAGCAGGCATTCTGTAAATATCTGTTGATTTGAATGAATTGATGAACAGACGAATACCGGTGAAACATCCAAAACCTTCCTGGGCAGAATCTTAGACAAGGCATTCTACAACATCGTGCTCTCTGCTTGTAAGGATTTTCCAATTTAATGTAGGCAGCAGATCTATACAGATGCTGTGGGGAAGTTAACAAGGGAAGACAGTGCGGGGAAACAGTGCTGATCATTACCTGGGTGTGGACTCTGAGTTCCAGACTGAAATGTTGGTGTGGAGGGTGAACTGTTCTTAAATGCTCTCCCAGAGGTAATGTTAGGTCCCCACCTGGGTCTGGGATTGAGACAGCAGGACAGATGGGGGGATACATGAAAAATCATGCACAGCCCTTCTCAGTTACTAAATTATGAGTCCTACTCAGGCATTGGGGTAACAAGTACACATAAGCCTAAGTCTGGATAAGTATCATTTCTTATAATATTTCTTAGCTAGTGGGTATTGATGCCATGGTCTGGAAAGAGGAGCTGAGCTAACTTACACTTTGGAGATTTGTTTTACTTTTTTGCAATTAAAAATATCTTTAATCTTAAATGTTCTTTTTTTTAAAAAAAAAAAAATGCCTTTTTTGTGTGTTTTATAGGAAGAAGGGAGGCACCTTTTCTTTTTTTCCATTATGTTATCTCAAAACAAACTTTGTGAGACTGTAGTCTTACTTTCCTAAGGGTTTTAGCATGTGGTAAAATGCAAATAAAAGACGACAAGAGTGTGTTGCGTTATTCTAAAAAACCCCTTCAGGCACAAATTTGCATATGGAGAGTGATTTCTGCAGCTGAATTCCCCAGTGGTTTAGCACTACCCAGAGAGACCTCCTCTCTAAACAGAGCCTCCGAGCACCTTTGAACACCCAATGATTATTAAGCAATCAGTATCTTCACATAAACTAACCTCTGAACGTCTCAGGTCAACTTTTTGTCTTATATTGTGCCAAGATGCCTTTCAAATGAAAGATTTGACTTCCAAAAAGTGGTTTTAAACAATGCTTCCCTGCGGCATATTTTTAAATGTACACTTTTATTTAGAATGCTCTTAATTTTAACAACACAATCATAGAGAAGTTTACTCTTTATTTGCTTAGTTCTGTGAATAAACAAAGTTCTATGCCCTGGAAGGGAACAAATATATAACAATAAGAGAAAACTAGGAATATTGAGAAATATGATTAAGGTTAAGAGTTTGCATCAAATTGAAGGTATTGTTTAATAGAATTTGATCTAAATGAATGATGCATTTTATGGATGCTAATAATACTCTTTAGTGGTGTTTCTATTCAAAATGCATTATCATTGGAGAGAAACTATTGACGTTGCACTGTGAATCACTAAAGAAAGAAAACATTTCATTTCTAGTCCTATAAGCAACCCATACATGAAGTATCCATTTTCACTGAGCCCCAGTCAGTTTCATACTGGGAACTATTCTTACTAGAAAAATACCTTTGCCTAGCCTAGCTTTCCTTAGACAGTGCAGACAGATCGCTTTGCCCCTGGCCAGTGTTAGGGAACTAAAAACCCCAGCTTTTTTGCCATCTGTTTACTCACCCACCAGCTAAATCTCAGAAATGTACTTAAGGAAGAGCATTTATATGAGCAGTTTCTCAGCCAAGTCACAGGACTGGAGAGCACAGACTCATGGCCTTCGCACTTTTAAAAGGGAAATTCAGAAATTAAAAAAAGAAACGGAAAAGTGGGGAATGGAATTATGTGGGAAATCTGACATCCCCTGGGACTTGAAAAGTTAACTCCAGATTCCTTAATAGTTATAAACCGTTCCTTTCCTCCTGTGAGAACCCAGAGAAAATGTTTATAGCTTTTTATGTGCGAATCTTGGATATGAGACTGCTGCTACTATTGCCACCAGATGGATCTTCCAAAAAGTAAAGCTCCCATCTTTGCATCGGAAATCTTAGATTGGCCTGTCTACTTTCAGGATAAAGTTTAACTTGTGCTAACACTCAGGGCCCCTCTCTGTCCTGCACCAAATATGTACTGAACATCTACTATGTGCTGAGCACATTCTTTCAAAGGTAATTGGGGACTTCATGAAGCTTGTCTACCTTTTCTTAAATATAAACCCGCTGCTCTAAGCAACACTAGTCTCCTCTGCCCCCTCATGCCCTTCCCTTCATTTCTGGAACAATTCCCCATTTGACAAGGCTCTTCTATTTTCCCTTAACCTATTTAAACTTTACCCCAATCCAGCCCTGCTGCAAAGCCAGCTGAGGTCCCATCCCTCTCACGCTCCTTCCCTGACTGTGGTAGCCCAAAAGGGCATCTTCTCTCTTCACCCCTATTAAATTAGATGCATGTCTTACCCCAAAGATTCAAAGTGTAGAGGGAGCTGTTTTATCTGAAAAAGAGAAGAAAGAAAAAGAACCCTTTTATATGTTATATAAATATTGTTAATTTATATGGTACATTATGCCTAATACTGTCTAAATATTAGTCAGTTAGCTTACTAATAAAAAAAGTAGAAACCTAAATTTTCCCTTTACTAAAAGTTGATATTTAGCATTACCTTACTGGAATGTTAATCTTGAGACTAGGAGGTATTTTAAAGACTGGAGGGGTTTTAAAGTCAGTGCTCACATAATTAGCAGGCTGGGGAAGGGCAAACTAATTTACTATATGTTTGGGGAGGGATTAATTTAAAAAATATTTACTAATGAGAAGTTGGAGGCTGCTTAGTGAGGCTGTGACTTGTCTGGACTGGCACCATATGTCAATGGCAGAGCCACCACTAAACCAATATGTTCCTGCATATTCCCAGGATGCCAGCAATGCTGTCTCGACTGGCAACTTTTCTCCTTAGAAGACAGACAGTATAGTCCATGAGGCTCAGAGTTTATTTTTTTTCTGTCTCTGTTTCAAACTGAAACTCCAGTGATTTATTTTCTCCCTAGAATAGTATACCCTATCCAATAATTCCTTAAGAATTATCTTCTCTTTAGAAATATTCATAGTTTTTAAACTTGGCTCAGGCTCCAGAAATCACTCCTCTAGTAAGTCTTCCATGATGCCCCTACCTTTAGTTAGGGATCCCTTTTTTTGCTCCATTCACACTTTGTGCCTGCAATTACTATGTTGCTGGCACCCAGTAAGTACTCAACAAATGTTCGAATTACACTGATTTGCAGCATATCCTCTAAGAAATTTTAGAAATAGTGTTTATGAAAAATGTGCTTCAACCAAATAGGTAGATTATATCATCCAAAAGAAATGCGGTAGAGTTAACCAAATTTTTGCTCTGAAGGTCCCCTCCTATTTTTTAATGATAAGCTATCTAAAATATATATTAGCATTTGGATAGTCCTTGCCTCTTCATGAGATATTATCTCTTCAAAGAGATGAAGAATGGATCTGTTCTTGCCAGAACTTAAAATACGGAGTAAGGACAAGCACATTCCAACTTAAAGATGTCTGACATTTGATTGTAGCTGTTTTTGCCCCTACAGCTTAAGCATGCTCTCAGACTGAGTGTCTCAACTTCATCTTCCCTTGTTTGATATGTACTCACGAAAGCTGCCACTCCCTTTTGCTCTCTTCTGGTATAAAATGAGACAAATAACAGAAAATTCAAGATAAAACTTTGTGTGTATTAGTCACAATAAGACTGAGTTATGCTGCAGTAACAAACACCACCAAAACCTCAGTGGTTAACATGACAGAGGTTTACTTTTTGCTCTGGGGAGAGGAATGAGAGTCCAGGAGAGCCGGCTCCACGTGGTGGGTTAGCAGTCCAGGCTGCTTCGATGTTGAGGGGGCGCACCCCCTTACCAGCATGTGCTTCTACCACTGCCGTGGCGGGACCGGGAACCTGGGGAATTGTACCTTGGCTCTTCAATGTTTCTGGCTAGACTTCTTGGAAAAGTAATTACGGACAGGGCTGGGGCAGCGGAAGTATAAAATAGGCCCAGAGCATCTTGTAAGCCAGAAAATAAGGAAGTGTTCCAAAAATGATAGGGCTTGTCGAAAGAACACAGGAGCCAACCTGAATGGACAAAGCTGGAACAATTTTAGCAACAAAATAAATAATGATAGCACTGGATTTTAACCTATAGAATAAATATTTATGAGTCCACGATGATGTAAATAAGTTAGTTAAACAAATGGGGGAAAAGAGACAGCACTTTCTTACAGAAGAATTACAGTTAATGAACATAGAAGGAAAAAGGGAAAATTAAAAATCTCCATTAAGCAAACACCAGAGTAATTATTATGAAAAACGAGATCCACTGATAGATGCGAACGTTTATGGGCAAAATCTGAGGATAAACAGGGTATTTCCATAGTTTTGATGTATTTCCCCCAACATAATTATTAATTATAAAGGGAAAGATAATTTCATTGTGCGGACACCACTTCACCCAAGCGACCAAGATAAACATCACCAGTGATAAGACATTAACACCATGAGCTTCTTGATATTATGCACTCAGAAGGACACAGTAGCATTTTTCTGTCCTGCAGGACAAGGAAAGACTGAGGAACATCAGACTGGAGGAGATTAAAAAGAAGTAACAACTGATGGCAATGTGGGAAACTGGATAGGGTTTTTGAAGAGGAGGACAGTGGAAAAACTGGTGAAATTAGAATAAGGTCTGCAGTTTAGTCATCACTGGGCCTACTAATTGGACTCTGGTTATATACAGTGTTCACATTAGGGGAAGCTGGGTGTGGAACTAAAGTTAGTTCAAAATAAAAAACTGTAAGCAAAATGAAATAAAGCATGTTAGGCACACCCAAACAAGTATTCCGATAAAATGAACTATTCTTTGGTTCTTCCTATTGCAATTTCCACAGCGGAGCGACTTTCAAGCAGCTGGCTGGATGTTCGTCACATTGAAAAATATGTCGACCAAGGTAAAAGTGGAACAAGAGAATTACTTTGGTCCTGGGCACAGAAAAACAAGACCATTGGTGACCTTTTACAGATTCTCCAGGAGATGGGACATCATCGAGCTATCCATTTAATTGCAAACCATGGTAAACTCTGATTTTTATGATATGGCTCTTGGTCCATTTTGTAGGAATTGTAATTTGTAAATGTAAATATTGCATTTTATTCAAGACAGGGACTGGTCATGCTATATGTCACTGATTTCTTCCAGTGGCATTTATCTGAAGCTGGCCTTACAGATTCACTTTTTTTTTTTTTGGTGACACTTTCTTTCCTCAGTACCTAATATATTAACGTATACAATACATTCCTTTCTACCACTTCATAGTTTGGTGTGTTTTTTTAAAAAAAATTTACTTACAAACTATACGTTTTGAAATATTTTATTCTTAGCAATACAAATCAACTCTATTCAAAACTCTGAAACTCTTTGAATCATAAACATAATCAGAATCACAATATGAGTAAAATATAGATAATGCTATAATTTGTTTTATCATATGGTTAGAAGTTAAAAATATAGTTGGGTTTTCTCCCTGTATTTTAGTGCAAGTGATAAAGCTCCGGAAAAACTGGGCTTTCCCTTTTATCCGTCCTGCTTTCATGCCTTCCCTGATTACTGTCCGTTCCACAGGCTGTAATTCTTCCTTCCGTCCTGTTTCTCGCGCTGTGTCATGCCTTACATACCTGATTAGTAAAGCTCATGAAATTTTCTCCATTTATTCTTTGTCAGTAAAATAATCTCCTAATGTCACTTGTTCTGTTTATTCCACTTTAGATTTATTCACTTCAACAAGAATGATCTTGAGGGATCTTGGGTCTTATAGATCAGGGCTCTTAGGTTGGAAACTCTTTCGAATCAGTATCCTTATTATTTGCCTCTTTCATTCAGGAATATTTTAATTTCTGTATATTTGCACACATGCTCTTTGATGATATACTTAGTACACTTGAGCCCCTCTCTATCTTATCACCCAAAGAAACTTTGCTCACATAAAGAAGAAATCCTGAGAGACTTGGACCAGAAAACTGCAGCTTCAGATTGACTTTTATTTTGTAGGTTTTCCATGTTAATGGGATGCTAGACAGTTCCCAGGAGGCTTCTACGATGATATTATCTGTATAACTTGGCTAACCCCTTTTCATCTTTTTCACACAATTTTTCACTTAGTTTCATAGAGCAGACTGCTTTCCTACGAAGCTGATCGATCAATTAAAATGCAGTGAGTCCCTGGGAATTGTAAATTCAATGCCTTATCATTATCTGAGCTTTTCCCAGCCACTGAAACCACCCACACAACTTGCTGTTCACAGTATAAACTCACACCATTTTGATAGGACACGCGGGGATGTTTTATAGTTCAGTGTTCCGGAATAGATTTCAGGGTGTCTTTTGCTCTCTATGTTGTTTATTTATGCAGCAGAAAATAATGTGGACTGTGAGGAGACAAAAATGTCACATTCTTGGTTGACACCTAGTCTTTTGCACGTGCAAAATTGATTGTATTTTTTAAATAGATTGGCTGATTGGTAGAAAGACGATTATTTACTGCCCTAGTACCAGGAGATAGGTAAATCTGAAATGAAGTTCTGAGTCCTTTGCTGAGGAAAATAGCACTATTTCATTGCAATTCATTGATTGGATGCTTTGAATTATCTTAGAAAAGGTTAATTTAATAGCTTGTTAAAGGCAGCACTGTGATGCTTCATTGGAAACAGTAAGTGTAGCCTGCTGAACAGGTGCCTCCTATGGTAACTACTACCAATCTAGGAGTCAAGATAAAAAGATTTAGTCTTCCTTTGTTGCTACCACGGACAAAGTTATCAGTTATCCAAATAATTCATTATCCATCCACATATCCATTTTTGCCTACCTTTTCTTAAAGTTGTTCAGTTCGGTGGGATAGTTTCATTTTAGAGAAATTTCTTACCTTTCCTTTGCCAACCTCCAGAGATCACTTTACAGACTTGGATTTTCTTATGAGTCCTACTGAGAAAGGCCTTGAATTTTCTCCTAGTCCCCATTCCTTCAATTCAGGGGACTGCATAGGGATTTCTTCACATCCATAAAACAGAACCAGTTCTCAGGACATAACCTTGTTCAAGAAACTAGAATCTTCACCTGCTATTTTTTTATTTCCCCGCCTTCGTATCTTTACATATCACATTTTGCATTTACATATCAATGATCAGTAATTGTTTTTTAGTTTTGATGTGAAATCCACAGCTTTCTGCTGGCTTCTTAGGAAAGCCACTTTGAGACTTATATTTTATATGACAATGAAGTATCGTCCTCTCTTTTTATGAGCAACAAAAGAACAATGAACAATGAATTTTAATGCCCGTACAGCCCCCAAACTTCAAATTTTGTTCTACACCACAATATCTTATTTAAGATGTTGCCTAATTGCCCTGGCTAGAATCTCTAGTATATTGTTGAATAGAAGAAGTGTCAAGACCAGACATCTAAAAGGGAAAGTATTCAGTCTTCCACAATTATGTATGATGTTATCTGTGGGCTTTTCACAGATGCTCTTTATCAAATTAAGGAAATTCTCCTCTGTTCCTATGGTTGTTATTAGGATAGGTTACTGGATTTTAAGGTTTTGTTATTCATTCTATTAATATGGTGTATTTCACCAATTGGTTTTCAGATATTAAGCCAATATTGGATTTCTGGGATGAATCCCACTTGGTCGTGGTATATAATCCTTTTTACATGTTTCTTGCTAGTATTTTATTGAGGACTTTTGCAATTTATATACATAAGGGATATTGGTCTGTAGTTTTCTTGTGATGTTTTGTCTGGCATTGGTATAAGGAAGATACTGGCCTCAAAGAATAAATTTAGGAGTTGATACCTCTTCTATATTGGAATAATTTGTGAAGGACTGATGTTAAATCTTCTTTTGTTATTGATAGAATTCACCTGTGAATTCATCCAGACCTGGACTTTTCTTTGTGGGAAGTCTTAAAATATTAATTCAATCTCTTTCTTTGTAATAGGTCCATTCAGATTGTTTATTTATTCTTGATTTAGTTTCAGCTTTGGATTTCTGTTGGTTGTGTTTTATCTAGAATTAGATAAATAGATTTTCCAGGGCGAGCTTTGGGTTTCTGTTGGTTGTGCTTTTTTTGAAATCTATTTATATCATCTAAGTTATCTAATCTTTTACATACAGTTCTTGTATTCCCTTATAATTAGTTTTATTTCTGTAAGGTTGGTAGTTATGCCTCCTCTGTTGTTTTTGTTTTGCTTGTGTTGTAATTTTAGTCTTTCTTCTTTCTTGGTCGTTTTAAATAAAGTATTGTCAATTTTGTGATCTTTTCAAAGAATCCACTTTGGTTTCATTGATTTTTCTCTTTTGTTTTTCTATTCTTTATTTCATTTAATTACACTCTAATCTTAATTCTTTCCTTCTGTTTCCTTCAGTTCAGTTTACTTTTCTTTTTCTAACCTCATTAGGTGTAAGTTTAGGTTATTGGTTTGAAATATTTCTTCTTTTTTAATGTAGGCTTATACAGCTATAAATTTTCCTTTAAACATTGCTTTTGCTGCATTAAGTTTTGACGTATTGCGTTTTCATTTTCATTCATCTCAAAATATTTTCTAATTTCTTTTGATTTCCGCTTTGACTTATTTGTTATTTATGAGTTTATTGTTTAATTTCCATGTATTTGTGAACTCCCCAAATCTCCTTCTGTTAATGATTTCTACTTTAATTCCATTGTGGTCAGAGAACATGTTTTGTATGATTTCAACCCTTCCAAATTTATTGAAGCTCATTTTATTGACTAACGTGGTCTATTCTGGAAAATGTTCAATGTGCAATTGTGAAGTATGTTATATTCTTCTGGTTTTGGATGGAATGTTATATAGATGTCTGTTAGGTCTATAGTGTTTGGTTTATATGTTGTTAAAGGAGATTTGTTATCAATTTACTGTGTTTTGTTGCTTGTCTTCTAAACAAATAATTTAAGAAACACTAGAACACAATCTAAGAAAAATTGAAGGTGAAATGAAAGTTTTTTAAAGTCTGAACTAAAATGTGACTGCAAAATATTGCAGGGTTTTAATCTTTTGCAGGAAGCCACATAGGCTACCTCAGTTCAGACAGAACTAGAACAGACAGAAGTTTAGTCTAAAACTGAAGAGCACTGGTGGGTGTTTGTAATGGTTAAAATAAACACACACATGCATTCACACACACACATATACACACCTCTAATACCTTATGGCACAAGATGGGATAAAAAATAAACTAACCCAGGGAGATATAATTGCAAAAATATATGTGCAAAAATGATAATGTTGCTTTTTCCTTTCAATTTTCTACTTCACACATTAACATTTTTAATAATATCTAACAGTAATTTAAGGTAGGTATTCATGTTTTAAGTGAACCAAAGTATGTTTGTATAATATTTGATCATTAGAAAGCTATTCACACACACAAATTTGTAACTATTCAGTGGAAATGAAACTGAGCTTTAGAAGTGAACATTACTATCAGGGTGTTTCACAGTCTTAGAATAGGAAAAAACAAGCTTATTAGGAACATAAGAATTTTTTTGTATCTAGCTGCCCTTATTTCTCTTTCAGGAGCAGTCTTGAGTCCTCCACAGCAGAGTCATCAGGGAGATGGATTTCCAAATGTGTTCGCCAAGGTAGAGTGTTTGTGCATAGATAATGACCCTTGAGCTCTGTTACATATGTGATTGAGCATAGGAATGAAATGATCAGACAGAAAAATGCTGGGCTTCCGGTACTAGTTTAAAAGCAGAAAAGCCTAGCTCTCTCATTATTCTTTATTTAGTTGGGGATTCAGAAAATTAGAGATTTGTAAATGTTTGAAGAGTTAAGAGCTTTCTCCTCTCAGTGGTCTGTCAGAGATGAGACTTAGAACTATTAAAGGGGCTGTGAGTTATGCATTTGTCTTAACTCAGCTTTTAATTTCCCTCTTCTAATTGGTGTTTTGCATATTGCCGTTAGCTCTTATTAAAGCAAATTAGCAATGATCATTTTATAGCAATTGAAGTCATTTAAAATTGACTATAATTGACTATGACATTGATACTTGAGTTTTTACAGTTGGTCTGGAAGCCTTAAATATATATGGCAATGAATACTATTGAATAGAATAAAATAATTTTGCTTTCTACTAGCTTTCTTCTAAATTAGATTTCACTCTATTGAACTGTATAGTCCCAGGGGGAGCTTTGGATTTCTGTTGGTTGTGTTTTATCTAGACTTATGAAACTGAATTACTTTAATACGTGTTTCTTCTCTTAGGAAACAGCCAATGTCACAGTAGATAATATTCTTATTCCTGAGCATAATAAAAAAGGTAAAAAAAACCCCACCCCAACTTATTTTTAAATCGTGCTTTCAATTAAGTCAACTGAGAGGGAGAAATAGCCAATAAATATATTAACTATTCATTAATATGCAAAGTCAGGGTAAAATTTTCATAGATATAAAAATATTTGTACTTTTTACCGAGACAGTTCTGATGGCTGATATATTAATGTGATATTACAAATCTATTGGCCAATGACGAACATAATTGTGATCTCTTAGGGGGAATTCTTATTTTCTGTTAGTGAAATTTGCTGTTTTTATGTATCATAGGAAAACATTTAAAAATTATGTTGGGTTTTATATAGTTTTAGAAATTTTCATAGCATTTGAAGAGATTTTTAGAGATGTTTGTAGAGCAATTCTGAAAGTCACTATGAAAATCCAGTTATTTTCCATATCAACTTTTCTACTTCATTAGCAGAGAGAATCATTTAGTTCTACCTAGGAATCATTCTGATAAACTTTAATGGGTATCTAAGGCTTCCTTGTCTTAAATTTGCCACTAGATCTGATGCTTCTTTGGTTCAAAAGAGATTTAGAAAATTTTGGTCCTTTAAGATTTAGCAATAAGATATCAATCAAACATTAAATGTGGGAATGTAGGCAAAACTGGTTTCTGAAGGATTTAGGCAAGCTTTTGCCTTTGAATTTGTATTTGATGACCTTTTCAATGTTTCCTCCCAATCTCTGCTTTAGTATTTTCCTAATTTACTCTGAGGAAGTAAGTTAGGTGTTTACAAGATTTGGCTCATAAAAAATGTTCCCATTAGTCATTCTTGGAGCATATTGTTTAGTCATATCAAGATTTCCATTAATGTAGATTTTTTTATTAGTTTTACATTCATAATTCTAATGACAAAGAAAAAGAACCTTAGAAAAGTTTCCCCAACTAAGCTTTTTGGCAGATCTCTTTCGAAGTGTGATAGAATCACAGTGCTATTGTTGAAATATCTAAACAGCCATTTGCTCTGTGAAATGGTAGGAGCCAGACCTGAGTAAATGCGCAGGGAGCACATGGTGGGCTTCAGTTTGGCTCTGGGTCATCACCCGACTGACTTTCCACTGGGCTCCGATGTGTTTCTAATAAGGAAGCCCTGGTTCTTTATGATGGTGGCATTGACTCTTAAAAAAAGAAAAGGTAACTTCTCTTCTCCCTACTTTCCTTCCTAAGGAATATTGTTTAAATCCTCTATCAGCTTTCAAAACATCATAGAAGGCACCAACAACTTCCACAAAGCCTTCCTAATCGGAGAAGGGGAGATTTTCGAGGTATACAGAGCGGAGATCCAAAACGAAACCTATGCCGTTAAGTTATTTAAGCAGGTATGGAAAGAATTATTACCACAGGGTATCGATTCCATTTATTTGCTCATACTTCATATTAGAATGTGTCATTTTTTATCAAGATTGAAAAGTATATTTGAAATTATAATTTTATAAATGGAAATGAGATATATGATCCCAGGTGACTGAAGAAATGACTGAGAAATGAATGGCTGTTTTGCAGGAATGTGGAAGTTAAATTCTTCCCATCCCCAGATATATTGCATAAGAAAGACTTTTCTGAAAAGCCTCGTAGGACCTTTGGGACTTTGCTTCAGATGGTCAGGCTGTGCCGGCCGCTCCGGTTTTCATGTTTGTTTGATTCTTTAGGATGGGCAGTTTCACAGGCCGAGCCACAGATTGGCATCTGTGCTACTTTGTAAATTGGCTTCCATCACAGCTCAGGAGGGTGGGAAAGGGGAGGCTTTAAGTAGGAGCAGCAAGGCAACGATCAAAGTAGGAGATTGGGGGACAGCTGAGTGACTGCAGGCAGCAGGGCAGAAAGGGTACAGAGGGATCTAACTCGGGAGTCGGGAGAGAGAGGCGCACATACGCCCCAAAGAGCTGCTCTTCCTCCTCTTCACTGTTAGTCAGCAACTGGCAAACAGTTTCTGAACTCCTTCCGTGGGCTGGGTACTGAGCGTGCAAAGGTGACTAAGGCATATTTCCATCCTCAAGCTGCTCGCAGTCTAAAGGGGGAAACAGCCTGCTAAAGCAAAGATTAAACTGCAGCATGAGAAGGATTAGCAGAGATCTGTCCAAAAGGTCACGGGAGCACATAAATAAAGCCAGAGGAGGGGCACGTCCAACACCCAGGAGAGTGCCTGGCACAGGGTAACCTCTCAGTAAACATTTCTTCAATAAACAAATGGAAAAGTGGGTGAAAGGAAGTGACCTTTCAGCTGGATTTGGAAGGATGGGTAGAATTTTTGGCAGACAGTGAGGGAGGGGCAGTGCTTTGGGGGTGGAATAAATAAATAGCAGGTGCAGAGGCCTGGCGGTGCAAGTATGAAAGCAGACACCTTCCTCATGAATAATAGATTGTTGGGTGGAGTAGAGGTTAGTGTGGGCGTGGGAACGTAGTAGCAGAAGATGATGCCGGAAAGATAGGTTAAGTCCATGGATGGTTTTTAAGAGGGAGAGGGAAAAGACTACATTTGTGTTTTTGAAATATAACTTTGATTACAGGTTAGATGATGGATGGGAAACGAGTAAGAGCGTTAGAGGAAAGATGGCAAGAACTTAGGCTGGAGGTGAAAAGACCTGGTAGAGGGATATTTCAGATGTGTAAACTAAGAAACGGATAGGACTTAAACCAATGTTCTCAATTCTAATATTAGAATCACCTCGGGGGCTTTTAAAAAATGAGCCCCTCAGTGTCTAGTTAGGTCAAGGTCGTGGTGGTGGTGGCTAGCATCAGTACTTTTAAAAAGCTTCCCAGGTGGTTCATGCGTAGCCCCTGTTGGAGAACCGCTGCTGTAAGGCAGGGCAGAGGCAATAGGGATGGCGAGGAGAAGGTATGTCTAAGAGATGAGATGAAATGGACCAAAAGTAGTGATCTGTTAGAGAGGGCTGGGGAAAGAGGGGAGAAGGGAGGGTCTAAAGTGAATCCTACTTTGCAACTTAGATTATAGGGACTTTTAAAAAAAATTATTAGCCTGATTTCTCCACTTCCTCAAATTGCATTTTGCCCACTAATTCTATATAGACATCTCAAAATTCCTGATAAGTTGAATGGTCTAATAAAGAAATGAAACTATCTACTGGTAATCCATTCAACAAAGAGAACGTGGTTACTCTAGAGGTGGCTGCCTGAAGCCTGTGTCTTAGGCCCAGCATGTCTCCATCTCCATTTGTACATTCTCTTTTGGTTGTGCCCCAGGGCCACCTCCCCTAAGGCTCCATCCATCTACCTTCCTCTTCCCTCTGCAGCTACCGTAACCAACTCACACTCCCTTTTGGGAATTTTCTTTCCAGGAGTCTCGCTTCAAAATGAGATGTCACTGCCTCTAGATCTTCTTCCCTCCCTGCCCCAGAGGCAGTGATTATTTCTTTGATTGCCTCTTACCTCTCCAGTGTGGTTTTGCTGACCCTCCTACATGTAGTCACAGCATCACAACATTATATCATAGCATTGATTTCTACATCCATCTCACCCAGTAAACTAGATGGGTTCCTTTAAAGAGCTCTTGTTTCATCTTTCTATCCCAGTACCTCATTACAGGGCCTGATCCATAGTAGTTGCTCAATAGATATTTGTCAAGCAACGAAATGAATGACAGATATGCCCTTTTTATTAATTTAATTGCTAATCTCTAGGAGTAAAAAGACAGGAGGTAACAAAGGTACCAAGAACTAGAGACTGTACAGAGTCCTACACACACTGATACAAATATACCCACACACACAGTTATCGGAAAGATGAGATAATTTAATGAAGCTTGAGCCACAAAGCATTTTTTTAAAGAAATGTGTAAAACTGGACATTAACTTTAGTAATCTTTTGTAGAGGGAATGAAGCGGGGAAATGTACTAGATATGTTGGATAGGTGCATCCATCACCCGGGGAGCTTACAATTCTGATTCAGCACATTTGGGCAGGGACCTGAGATTCAGCATTTCTCACCAGCTCCCAGTGAAGCTGATGTTCCTTGTCACAGACCACAGTTGGAGCAGCAAGAATGCTAGCTTAGCACAAACACAAAAACTAACCCCTTCATTTTTCAGAGTAAGAAAACTATGACCTGAGGGAGATTAAGTGACAAAAATTCACAAGTAGTGCGCATGAGAAACGGACCAAGTGGGGCCAATCCACTTGGATTGTGTGACAATGATTTTTTAAAATATAAATTCTCAAAAAGATGTCTTTGAAAATGAATTGTCGGCCTAGCTGATTGTTTTTGACTTCCTGGATTAACTTGGAAAGTAGCTTCCAGAATTCTTGTTGGATTTCTCTCCCTCTATTCCTGAGGACAGAGAGCTCTGAAAACTCTGCCCTGTCTAGCAGTTTGCAAATGATAGAACCTTACTGCTGATGGGACTAGGAGCACACATACTTTAAATCCTTTAGAAGTTAGGAACCTGAGCTTCGGAGATGTGCAATGACCTAAGGTGTGTGAAGCCATTGAGAACAGTGCCAGGTGCAGAGTAGGTGCTCAGTACAGTATTAGTGAACTCATTAATTTATTCGGTAAATACGTATGTCAGGCACTGGGCTAGCTTCTGAACATCTTTGAGGTAAGGAGTTATATTTTTCATTTGCTTAGTAAGCCCATCTTTTACTACAGAAGTAAACTTGAACCAACATGTTCAAATGACCCAAGTCATAAATGCCAGATTAGTGAAATCACCTCTGACCAGAATACAGCTGAACTCTATGAGAGCAAGCGGGGAATTTCTAAATGTCATGGAATTTTCTTTGAATACATATAATATTTTTAAATTTATGAAAAAAGTGAAAGAATTCGAATATAAAATATGTGTACATGATACATTACATGAAAAACTTTTAATTTAATAGCAGTGATTCTAAATCTATTTGGGGGGTTAATAGATTTTTGAAAATCTGATGAAATCTAAGGATTCTCTCCCCAGAAAAATGTTCATTTGCATATATACCAAAAAATTCATCTAGTTTCAGCCTGAGGTTAAGAATCCCAGAAATAGAGATCCTTTCCTTAATTTTTTTTCCTTATTTTTCTGTATGATATTTAGGAGAAAAAAATGCAGTGTAAGAAACAATGGAAGAGGTTTTTATCTGAGCTTGAAGTTTTACTACTGTGAGTATATTTTGCCTGGAATTTCTTCCTTTGTGTCTGGTTTTCATCTTTGTTCATCTTTGATTCTACAGCTCAGAGCATGGCATGGTTGGCATTTAATAAATGAGGGTAAATTTCTGACATCTGCTTTAGTATATTTCTTAGAATACACTTGAAAATAGGCTATTTACATAATTCACTTGAACATATTTTAACAAGAAACTGTCACTGGGAAGTAGGTTAAATCATGTGTGACTAACATGGCTGAGTGTAAAATAATTCTTAGAACATTAGAATTGTATATATTTCACCACTTCCCCCTTCCTTAGAGACATTCCAGTCAAGAAACTGTTTCATCGGTGTAACCCTCGTCAGAAAGAGAGTTTTAGACAAAGAAATCAAGTGCTTTTGATGTGCATATTATTTTCTGGGAATTCATTCATGAGCCGTAGAGTCCTTGGGGACAAACGAAAATGACTTCATTTTCATATATATTCATATCTGCAGATGTGCAGCCTGCCTCATCGAAGGTCCCTAACCCTATAGAGAGTTCACTTATCACCCTTTACAAATAGGAATGTTCTTTTCAGATGTTTTCTAAACCAAAATGTGACTGGGGGAAGGGGTATAAATCCTTCACCTTTTATACCTAGGACCAGAAATCAAAATATTAGAGGCTAATTATAACAACTTAATAGATAGATATCATTTAGTCAATGAAAAACTAAAACCAAAATTGCAATAAGAATTTTATATTTCAGCTTTATGTATTTGCTTATGAATAAGTAATAAGTTCCGACATTTCAAAATTCCAAAAGTGCAAAAGGGTAAACCAAGAAAATAATATCTTCCACTCTTATCATCCAGCTCCCCTGCTGATTTGCCAAAAGCAATCAAATTATCAGTTTCTTGTATATATTCCCAGAGCTTTTTATATGTAAGCATACGTGTACTTTTCTTATTTTTCCTCCTCACACAAGCATTGCCTGCACTGCTTTGTCACTTTGCTTGGTTTAGTATTACACTTTGTGCTGGACTGTAGTTAATTAAACATTCTCCTATCGATGTGTTTTTATTTTCTAATCTTTCATTACTAAAAAATGATGCTGCAACAGGAAAACCTTCACAGATGTTATTTCATATGTAAATGTTGAATATATCTAAGATAAATTTACATAAATAAATTATAGGGCCAAATGGTGATATGTATGACATATTACCAGATTGTCCTTCGATAGAAGTTATACCAATTTACACTTCTACCAGTCATATGTGAGAGGACCTAGTTCCCCGTGTTCTTGCCAACATAGCGTTTATTCTTTTTTTTAATCGTCACCTGAGCATATTTTTTCCATTGCTTTTCAGAGAGAGTGGACGGGGGAATGAGAGAGAGAGACATCAGTGTGAGAGAGACGCTGATTGGTTGCCTCCCTCATGCACCACGAACTGGGGCTGGGGATCGAGCCTGCAACCCAGGTACATGCCCTTGACCAGGAGTCGAACCCGGGACCCTTCAGTCTGTGGGCTGTCACTCTAACCACTGAGCCAAACTGACTAGGCCCATAGCGCTTATTCTTAACTTTTCATTTTTGCCAGTCTGCTAAGTGGAAATGGTTTCTCAGTGTAGTTTAAATTTCTTTTTCTATTATGAGTGAATCTTTTTACATATTAAGAGATATATTTCCTTTTCTGTGAAATACCTTATAATATCCTTTGCCCCATTTTTTCTTAGGCCATTGGGTATTTTTCTTAATGGTCTGTAGCATTTTATATATTAGAGAAAATTTGCTCTGCTTTTATGAGATACAAGCAATTTTTTTACCAGGTTGTAATTTGTCTTTGTTTATTCTAGTTTCGGCCATGTAGAAATGGTTTTCATGTAGTTGAATTTAATATTTTTCAACTATATTTTCTTTTATGGACTCTGGGTTTTATATCATAGTTTAAAAGGCCTTTCCCGGTGAGAGGTCATAAAATAATATTGCCATTTTTTTCCAAGTACTTTTATTATTTTATTTTTTACATTTATATATCTGATTCATTTGGATTTATTCTGGTAAAGTATTTATATATTTATTTAGAGAGAATTAACAGTTCTATGATGTTGAATATTCTTCATGTGCCATCATTATTATTTATATTGCTAATATTTATTTACCAAGAACTTTACATGTACTAATTCTTTAATCTTATGAGGTAATCATAGGATTACCTATGTGATAATCAACTTACCTATGAGGTAAATACTGCTATTACCCCCATTTTACAGATGTAGAAAATGAGGTAGATTGTATCTTTTTTTAACAAGATCCAACTTATTTCCTAAATCATCTTGTCTCCCCCTTCTCAGAGATTTACTTATGAATAAGTCAGGTGTAGTCTTCTCTTTTTAGAACATAGTACGTGAGATGTTTGAAGTGGGATTAGTGGAAAAGTACGTAATAGGCAATTTCAGTATATTAAGTGATAAGATGAGGAAGTACAGAGCACTGAAGAAACAGGAAATAGTAACTTCATGGGAGGGGGAGTGGACACAGAGTAGGCTCCTTAGAAAAACTAACATCTAAGCTGAGACCTGAGGATGAATTGTTGTTGTTTTTTTAGTTTAATATTAAGGGAACTGCTTAATCCTTGTGCCTTAAATAGAATTGTAAAGTCCTTAGAATGTGGCTTCTGAGTCTCCCCTCCCCGCTTCTTCTTCAAGGAAAGGGAAGGAAGCTAATAATTTGTGAGGTTTTGGGACTTTGCTAAATATTTAACCTTTAATTTAATTTTCATAAGAATCTTGGGAAGTAGGTATTTTATGTACTTCCATAGATTGGCTGGTTTAAACAACAGATTTATTTTCTCACAGTTCTGGAGGCTGGGCTGTCCAAGGTGAGGGCAGTTTTGATTCCTGTGAGGACTCTCTTCATGGCTTGCAGATGGCTGCCTTCTGTTTTGTCCTCACATGGTGGAGAGAGGGAGCAAGCTCTCTGGTGTTTCTTCTTGGGGCCCCACCCTCTGACCTCATATAACTCTGATTGTCTCCCAAAGGCCTCATCTTGAAACATTATCACATCAGGAAATAGGGTTTCAACATATGGATTTGGGGGGGTAACACGATACAGTTTTATAGAGATTAAATAACTTGTCCACATTTACACAGCTGATAAAAAGAAAACCAGAGATTCAAACCCAGGTTTGTCTGTTGTTCAAGTCTGTCCTTGCATCATGTTTTATCTGCAGTAGACACTCCGATTATTTGTTGACTTACTGCCCTTCAGATCTATATAATCTAAAACCCCACTGACTTAAAACTTTTTAGTGAAAGGATGGGTGAGATGGGTCCATAGAATTAAAACCAGCAATCATTGCTTATGGCATTTCCATGTTCCATACTTTGATAACTTCTAAAGTAACCATTTTTCTGCTTGGTCAGTAATACTTAAAAATAAGCAAATGGTCATTTCTGCTCTGTGAGCAAGAGAGCAGAGCCATGTCTGTGTCTATACAAGGCCTTCAACCTACTACTTTCCAAAAGTTTTCTATTTCATTAAATTATTTTAAACTGCAGGAGAATCAACCAGCTAGTGGCGTAGATCAGCTATTTAAGCAACCAAATACACCAAAACTCAGTTCCTTTTCAGTTCATTGCTTTTCATTTTATAGATATGACCTGAATCATAGTAAGTGCAGGGATCCTGTGTCACAGTTATTCACTTATTTAAGAATAAAAGTCTCTCTGTGTGTTTGTGTATGTGTGTATGTTTGTAGACACACACACATACATACACCCTTTCTTGAGAAAAGGGGAATGGAAGGACTATATAGACAGAAGGAGATATAGACAGACAGAAGGACTATATAGACAGAAGGAGATATAGACAGACAGATAGATAGATAACCTCCCTATAGATAAATACCTGCATATAGATATCTATATATGTGTATGTTTTATGACACAGTTTTGCTATTGAAGAAACAAATAATAGGCCTTTATAAATAGAACCATTTTTTTAAAAGCTTTATTTATTTCAATATCCCAAGCATGCCTGCAACATAGTAGGTGTTCAATAAATAACTGATGAATTGAACTGAATTCACAGTATGTGTTGAATTTCACATGTTTTACATTTCATAGTGCTACCTGGGTTCCATTGGTTTTCACAGTGGTGGCACAAATTTAAGGAATAGAGCTTTTCAGGAAAGGAGCCTGAAAAGTGTATCTTACACTCACATAGAATTCTATGATTTAAAAATCAGTGATATGTTTTTCATCATCAAACATAAAACTGGATTTTAGATAATAATACAAGCATTGTGAAGACACTGGCTATCTCTTTCACCTGTGTGACCAATACCTAGTACAGTACCTGCAAAGTAGCTCTCAATAAACAGATGAATGAAAACTAGTCTTCTGTGCTCTTCTCTTTTGGTGGCTTAAGTTACAGGTGTCTACCTAAAGCAATTCTATAGATAATTTCAGTTGCATTATCTTTATTTATTTAATAAATAAATTGTATTGAGTTTTCTGCTGATAAAAATAAGTTAATATTGAATATTGTTGTCTGTTTGTTGTAAAGTTCCCGATACCCCAAATCTTAAGAGCTCTTCACTTTCTTAAATTTTCTATCTTTTATTTGAATATTTTATTTATATTTGCATGGTCACAGTCAATCAAAGAGTGGCTAGTATTTGTCAGAACACTTTTGACCGATTTGGAAAGCCAATCCGTGTCATGTATCCAATGAAATTACTTCTCCCTTGGCCAAATTTATATTCTGCTTTAGACCTGTTCTTCATCCCCCAAACAGCATGTGGTTTATTTCCTACTTGAATAAGCAATTTGATGAATTTAAATATTTTTTGTTTCAAGATTTCGTCATCCAAACATCCTGGAGTTGTCTGTGTATTTTACAGAGGGTGAGAAGTTCTGCCTGGTTTATCCATACATGAGAAACGGATCACTTTTTGACAGATTACAATGTGTAGTAAGTCATTCCCGTTACCCTGCTTGCCCCTGGGGATTCCCTGTAGCCCCTGGGGAGCTGCTGAAGCCTTTGGTGAGGACCAGAGGCCAGCTGCGTGTTCACACGAGGGGACCGCCCGCACTGGGCTTCCCAAGGAGGCAGAGGACTTCTCCGGGAATTAACCCCTTCCTTGTAGAAGGCTACAAACATACCTGAGCTACTGTGTGCTGTGCCACATGGTGGCCAAGAGATTTACTGGGTCCTTACTCGCTATCGAGTCTACATCTCAAATGAGTTTACATTCATGACCTTACTTTGCAGATAGTTTCTATTTGTATGACTTTACCAAGGTGCCATTCAATACAAAGAATAGACATAAAAGTGATAGATAGACACCTTAAAGAGAAGGAGGTTGAACACGTGCCATGATTCCTCATAAGATGTTTTTGAAATATAAGTTTAAAAATTGATTAAGTAAGTCATTTCAGTTAAGCTGAAAATAAAACCAGGTTATTCTCAATTACCCACACTACTATGCCACCAGTAATTTAAAAATCTTACTCAATGAACTTTTAAACATAATTGCCGTATTATTCATATTTTGATTAAGCTAATATTAACATCACGTATTTCATTGGCTACAAAGGCCTAGAACCATCATTGGGAGAAGAAGAAAGACTCTCTTGAACTAAAAATACGTTCCTGTAAACCCAGCCTACCTCACTCACCGGCAGTCTCTTTCTGACATACTCCTGTGTAACGAGTACCTGGCTTTTACTCAGTAAGTGCAACTAAAGCAATTACTGTTGTCTTTCTAGGGTAACACAGCCCCACTCTCTTGGCACACTCGAATCAGCGTATTAATAGGAACAGCCAAAGCCGTTCAGTACCTGCACACCATGGTCCCCTGCTCGGTCATCTGTGGCAGTATATCAAGGTAAATTCTCCCAGAGCTTTAGGTGGCACCTGAAAGCCCCTGTCATCACTGCAGGAAAATCAGACTTCACGCTGTAGATGGGGATTTCTAGCAAGATAACAGTAGTAAGTGACAATTAAAATCCTTTGTCCTCGAGTCTCCAGTGTCCTGCTGGTTGCACTGAGCCTGCTGCCTCGCGGCCGTATGTATTCATCTGTGACAAGCTGAGCGGCAACACCTGTGTTCATTTTTGAGCCATGAGAAAATTAGAAGCAACATCTTCCATCTTTCTTCTTCTCCAGTAGACATAGAATCATTCAGAGAGTAGAGAGCCTATAGCAGAACCTCCCCTATGAATTTTTCCTACGTGCCCTTCACCTTGAATTTGTCCAAAAGTAGCTAAATACGCCTCTGCTGAAGAGCAGGGAAGACTAAATCCAAAAGGCTGCTGCCTCTTCTGAACCAACTCCTAGTATCTTGGGGGGAAAAGCTTTTAGTGTGCCTTTTTTTTTTTTTTGAGTTGACAGAAGTGGGACTGGTTGCATATCTCTGTTTTGCTGATGAAATGAACTCCACATGAAAAGACAAGATTTTCATTTAGTCCTGGAGGAGTGGGAGCACCACCCGGGTAGATGCCTGTGCCTGGTGCAATGTGGTGGTTCATTGGCTGCTAGTTGCCCCAGAAACCAGCATAAAATTAGTGCACCCTCATGCCACCTGGGATGTAGCAGGACAGAGGAGGTCTGAGAGGTCAGTGATGTCAGCCATTGGGGTTCTACAAAGCCGAGGTGGCCCCTCCAACCTCAGACAGTCCCCTTTCCACCCAGCTCTCAACCAGCTCTGCCCAGCAGGTGCTCAGATGTTTTAACTGAGTAAATAAATAAATATCTGGAATTTTGCTATACATATCCTTCCCTTGGTTTAAACTTAAAATGAGTGTGAGCTTATTTTCAATCCCAAGCAATAATACATGAATTTAATTAATTTTCCTTTTGCGTGACTAAGTTGATCAAATCCTCTCCTGAAAACACAGCTTGATAATAAAGAGAGGTGATGAGGGAGAGGTATGGAGGTTTTGGTAGTTGATGGGAGAGGGGGACAGGGAAGGCCACCGACTGGAACAAAGGGAATATTGGGGTGGAGGGGTACACATCCAGGCTCTGCCCCAGTCACAAGGTTTTCCACAGCTAACAGTAAGTGAGGATGGATGTGCCCCTCCAGCATCTCGCTCCTGGTTTTAGGTTAGAGTGCAGACCATGGACCCTGATTTCTGCTTTCCCACTAATGTTTAGTGTCTTCAGATAGGTTCCCAGGAAATAGGCTCAGAGGCAGAAATTTGCCTTCAGGAGATTTTTAAGGTGTGCTCTCAGGAACAACAAATGTGGGGGAGGGGAGGAGAAAGGTAGACTTGGGTGATTGGAGAAACTGAGCTGGAATGTTGTCTTGGAGGCCTTGGCCGATGCTATGGGGACCACTGAAGTTGGGGTGACCTTTCAGAAATATCCTAAAGTGAGTCCAGGTGCTCCCCTTCATCTGACTGGCCCTGAAAGGGGCTCTAACTTGGCTGAGGCAGCTCCCTTCTTCCAAGGACACATCCCAAGTTGAGGCTTAGCTGTGAGCTGTCAGCAGCCACCCCTCCCCAGTTCGGGAGTGAGTGCCTCCCTGGATCCTGAAGGAGGGACCTGGGCCACACCACTGCAGCCACCACAGTTGTGCAGGAACATTTGACTGGATGCCACTCTGCAAAGTGACGAAGTGATTCTTCTTTTTCATGTACTTTACTACCCACCTCTCCATCCTATCTTCTTAGTTCAGCAGAATCTGACTTTCCACTTAAAATGTGATTCTAGGAATCTCCAAACACCAGTCAGAAAGAACTTATGCACCCCTATGTTCATAGCAGCACTATTTACAATAGCTAAGGTCTGGAAACAGCCCAAGTGCCCAGCAGTAGATGAGTGGATAAAAAAGCTGTGGGACATTTACCCCATGAAACACTATGCAGCTGTAAAAAAGAAGGATCTTGTACCCTGTGAGACAGCATGGAGGGACCTGGAGAGTATTATGCTTAGTGAAATAAACCAGTCAGAGAAAGACAATTATCACATGATCTCACTTATATGTGGAATCTATGAACAAAATAAACTGACAAATAAAATAGGACCAGAGACATGAATGCACAGAACAGACTGAGTCTCAGAGGGGAGGGGTGTTGGGGGGACAGGAAGAAATTAACCAGAGAATGTATGTGCATATATGCATAGCCCATGGACACAGACAATAGTGTGGTGAAGGCCTGGGGTAGGGCAGGGGTTGGGTGGAGGGGAACAAAGGGGGGGAAATGGGGGACATCTGTAATACTGTCAACAATTTTAAAAAGCTGGTATGATTAGCAAAAAAAAAAAAGTTGGATGGAATCTTCCTTTTAATTTTTTTCCATACTTTTCTCCTGGCATATCTATTAGTTTTGGTTTTTGGGTTTTTATTGGGTTAATTGGAACATTCATATTTGTTAACATTAAACATCATATTTTTATTAAATTTAAAAAATGTGATTCTGAGCAAATTGCTTGACTTATCTAAGCCTCAGTTTTTTCCTCTGCAAAATGCTGATAAAAAAATAATAGCTTCTCTCTTAGGGTAAAATGATACGGTGCTTGGCAAAGAGTCCACGCTCATCAAATGGTAGCTACTGTTACAACTGTTCAAGAAGCGGTAGGAATAGTAGTGGAGGAGGCTAAGAGATCTGATGGCTAATCAGTCCTTTTACTTCTCACTCTTTTATTTACGGTCTTAATTCATTCAGGATGCTACAACCAAAATGCTATAGAGTGGGTGGCTTATAAACAGCACACAGTTACTTCTCACAGTTTTGAAGGCTGGGAACTCAAAGATCATGATGCCGGCCTGTGCTTTGTCTGTGAGGACCCACTTTCTGTTCACAGACAGCTATCTTTTCTCTGTGTCTTCATGTGGCTGAAGGGACAAGGGATCTCTCTGGGGCCTCTTTATAAGGCACTAATCCCTCTCATGCTTAGCTGTGAGGGCTCTACCTTCATAACCTAATCACCTCCCAAGGAGCTACCTTCTAATACCATCATCTTGGGTTTAGGGTTTCAACATATGAATTTGGGAGAGACACAGCATTCAGTCTGTAACACTTGACCCCTATTATCAATTTATTGTATTTGAAAAATGGACCCACTGACTAAGCTCTATTTTTTTAAAAAATCACTGCTGTGTTAACTAACATATTGAACCTTTTAAAAAATTGCATTCATTTTAGTTCACAAATATTTATGGAACATCTGTTGTGTGCAGAGCATTGTGTTAGACCACACTGGGGGAAGATGGCGATCATAGTGTTGTCCTTGAAGGTTCAACCTGGTGATCAGAGAAATAACAAACTCAGAAAGTATACAGTGCAATACTAACTGCCCAATGCACAGTTGGTCCAAGAACATTTTTCTTCTAATTAGATAGTTCCAAGCCAAGTCTTTGAGGAGATAGGTCACGGTGGTGGATTAGTTGAAAGAAGGGAAGATAATATTCCTGGTGGAGGTAATAATATGTTCAAGGGAACAGAGTAAAGAATCGCCAACCATATAATGAAAGCAAGACAAATTGATGGGTTGGAGAGGAAAAGATGAGGTTGGAATAAGGAAAGATAGGACCAGAGAGGAGTAAGGAATGTGATCAGGGGTTGAATAGAGCCTTGAGTGCTAACTAGCCTGAGGACCTAGATTTGATAAGCAAGACTCTCTCAAGGGACTCTGAGGCTTCCCTGGGGTATAGGTGTCATGAGAAATGTTCTGGAATCTCTTAAGTGATGTCACAGTTTTAAAGGAGGCAGTTTATTCCAGGAGAGTATCCCAGTACTTGTTTGGATGTGATAAACTATAAAATCATCTAACTAACACTGCTAGATGAGTACCTGATGGGTAGTAGAGATACGGAATTCCAAAAGATATCTGATCAGAGACAGGGAGAATTTCATGGGAGAGGCAGGGTTTAAATTCAGCTAGCACCATATTTTATTGTTTTAGTTGGTAAAGGGTCTGCCAGTGATTGTTGCCTTTCTGGGTTTTCCAAAGGGTTAAAAGACTCAACATAACTATCTGTAGACATGTGTCAGGGTGTGGGGCTCTGGGGCTGTTGTCATTTACTGAGAATTGTGGTTTCACAATTTCTCATCAGTGTGTTCCTGTCCGCTCCAGGGCAAGTCAGCCTCTTTCATAGCCACTGAACCCTTGGACTTTCTGCTAAGCCTGCCATCAAATATGTTAATTAGTGCCATCGATAGCACTAGATTTCCCCACTTCCTTTGGTGATGTGCACACCTGCTCTCTAGAAACTGGAATGAGGCCAACTCATTTCATTCAAGGACTGAGCATCTGTCAGGTGGTGATGATATTCAGCCTCCAGCAGTCGTGGCCAAACGTGAATTGGCTGACCTAGATTACCCTCCAGAGTCTCTCTTAAATGAATCCTTCATGTTGCTCGAAATGTGGGCCTCTCTGCCTCTTGGTTCCTCGCTATACAGCCTAGTGCTTTTAGGAATCTCTGCTCTTCTGCCTTTGTCATATAAATTTCTTAATTCTTTGTAAGGAAAGGCAGCTTCTAGGAGATATGTCATTTTGTTGCACAGCCCTGATAAGTGACTGAAAAAGGACATTTCAGAACATGTTCAACAGTGACCTTTTGATGAGTAAGTCAGGGCTCTGCTTCTGTTGGAGAAATGAAGACAGTTTTGTTGCCTTTATTTCTTGCAGCTGGGCCTCAGACTAATGAATCACAGAAGAGTTTATTGTACATCATTTGATGTTTAAAATGTTTTTAATAGTATGAAATAACATGGAACAGTGTGCATGGAGTGAGATTAAGTGAAAAAAGCCAAACTGAAGTAGCATGGAGCACGTGATTATAACTTGTAGTGTTACAGATTTATGAATTATAAAATAGATTAAAAGTAAACAGTAAGATATAAATAAGGCTTTATTAGACAGAGAGATGTAGCTTTT